AAAAAGATAGAAGAGAGAGAGAAGAAAGATTGACAGGAAACTATTCCCCACTGCACAAATCTGTTCCCAATTCCTCCAGTTTCTGCATTATCTTGCATATTTTGATGCGAAATGCTGGCTGTTTGATCAGATAACGCTTATGAGAAATTGCCTGTTCCGGAAGCTGCACATGCCACTGTGCGGTTAGAGGGCATTGGGTCAAGTAATGGTCTGGTTTACCAATGCCTCCACAGACACAACTTTCGATATTTGCAATTCCTCTCTCATAGTAATAAGAGGGAAAAGGCCAGTGCCCCGTCACAAATCTTGTTATTTGTGGGGATGACTCGAGACGATCGAGGGAAACTTTATGGTAATATCCATAGGTCTTCCTAACATCGAGGCACGCGGCAAAAGCTTAAAAGCATAATGGACAAGCTAGAAAAAATGGGCATAGACCTCTGCAGGCCGGAATAGGGCACATGCAATAAACATAATTGGCATAAGATTCTCAAAGCTTACTAAAGTAGCTAGGACAGCAATGGTATGTGTATCCGTAGTATGGAAATGTAACTTTTTTTAGTTATCCACGAGCCGACGTGCCGTGAAAGGCTATTAGCACAGTAATGGACAGTGCACATATAATACTATAGATGTAACGTGGCATGTATTGAGCACACATCTGTTAAGCGTCTTACAACTGTGAAGTCTCTAGATGGTTGCAGGGCCAGGGTAATACTCGAGTAGTCATAGAAAGCCGTCCGGGTGCCCTGTCCTGCTGTCACCTGTCACCTGCTTTGTTCGGTAGAGTCTCATTCCCATTGCCACTGGTGCTGAGCTGCTGTCCTTGTCACTTTTTTAATGTGAGACCACGGGAGTTTGGTAATTGCGCATTGTGCATCAATATTGTGATCTGCTTCTTTTGCTAGCCTGTCGGCTTCCTCATTACCTTGAATGCCGCCATGCGCCTTTATCCAAGATATGAGGATATTCATTGTTGACGAATGCTCCTTCAGCGTGTCCTGAATCTCCGCTATGATAGGAGAAGGATGTCTGGGATTTCGTAAGGCATATATGACCGAGAGGCTGTCTGTAAGAATATTAATAGTGGATCCTACTGGGGGGGCTTGTTAACTCGATAGCTTTGCGAATCGCAATTGCTTCAGCCTGGAAAACTGAATTATTCTGTCCCATATGACCTTTCCATGTTATCAGCGTTTCCTTGTTCTTAGTTACTATAAGGCCACAGCCTACTTGTCTGTCAAATTTTGAACCATCCGTATAAACATAATATGGATCCTTTATGTCAGAGTCATCTTTCCATGATGTGTGGGCCGAGACTCCTTTTCCGTAGTTAGACGAATGGATGACATTTACTGGCCTTATTTTTTCATGGAGGCTGTGCTGAGAGGTGGTGTGTGCTATAACCCCTTTTCCATGGTGTGAAGGATGGGTTGCATTTATGAGACCTTTTTTCATACTCCTCTGGATCATAGCATAGCGGTCCAAAAGTAGTGCAGAGATGTAATTGGAGAACAGTCGTTACTGCTGCTTCTTGTGCTGCTCTAATATGTAATGGCAAAAGTCCCACCAGTATTGTGGCTGCCACTATCGATGTTTGTACGGTATCCTTTTGTAATAGCCAGAGCAAAGGAGGCGTTGTATACTACTGAGTAATTTCCTTTTCATGTATACTACTGAGCAATACACGATGGTATGAGAAAGGCGAATACTAAAGTTTTTAGCTAATTCTCGAAAGATTTCACTTAGAAATTGACTACCACGATCAGTGGTGATCTGCGCAGGCACACCGAGTCTTGAGATTCAGCCTGCATAAAGAGCGGTGGCTACGGTCTCTGCCTGTATACCTATCAATGGATACGCTTCGGGCCAGCGAGTATACCTGTGAATGCATGTCAAACAGTAAGACATTCCTTGAGATAAAGGAAGAGGTCCAATCAAATCTATATTATGAGGAAAACGTTCATCTGGAACTATAAAAGTAGTTAAAAGAAACTGTACATGACGAGACACTTTAGCCTTTTGACATTGAATGCAAGTTTGAGTGAAGTTTGTGACATCCTTTCTCATTGCGGGCCAGATAAATTGGTCACTAATTAACTTCATTGTTACTTTAGGTCCAGGATGGAAAAGATTATGCAGAGCTTTTCAGCTCTGCTTTATCGTTTCCATCCTAAAAGTTTTCTATGACTTTCCGGAACAAAAGGACGGATTTTACCGAGTGAAATGTCGCAATACAGTTCTACAGAACTCTCAGACATTTTTAACTTCTTTGATTGCAGAACTGGATTTTCTTGGTCTAAAAGGGATTGGAGTACAGTGTCACGACACTGTACTGTCACGAACTGTATTGCGACACTGTCACGAACTGTATTGCGACATTTCACTCGGTAAAATCCGTCCTTTTGTTCCGGAAAGTCATAGAAAACTTTTAGGATGGAAACGATAAAGCAGAGCTGAAAAGCTCTGCATAATCTTTTGTTGTGCTTGCGACACAGATTGATAGTCAATAGGAATGAAATTAGCAACCATTTCGATGCGAGAAAGAGCACTGGCTGGTTCATTTTCTGCACCACTCACATGTTGGATATTCAGTAGTGAATTGACCTATGAAATTAAGTTGATTAAGTTGTCGAGGTGCGAGCTTGTCATACTTTTGGGAAAATGCTTTTTTGAGTGTCTTATGATCTGTAAATGCTGTAAAGTTCGTACCTTCAAGCAGATATTTGAAGTATTAATAGCGGTAAATATTGCCAACAGCTCTCTGTCGTACGCGCTGTACTTTTGTTCTGTATCGCTCAATTTTCTGGAGAAAAGTCCTACTGGTCCCCATGTTTGTGCATTAAGCTGTTGGACGCAAGTTGGTTTTGTCTGATTCGTCGCACATAAGAGCAATATTCTTTTTTGGGTTTTAGGCTTCTGACACAGGTAATTATTTAACATTTTTAGGGACATGAATTTTTTTTTGTATTACTGGGCTTATATTTTGCTGCTTGAACTCGTATCATAGAAAATTTATTTTTTCTTTAGCAAAATTGCATTTAGAGTGTTTTAATTTTATATTCTCTTTCTCACGTATGTCAACTATGATCTTAAGATGTTTAAGATGTCCATCAAAATTTCCCGAAAATACTATAATGTCATCAAATTAATGTAAAGCAAATTGAATTTCATATTTCTTTAAAATTTGTGTAAGGGCTCTTTGGAAAACAGTTGGGGAATTTTTCCAACCAAAAGGTAATCTATTGAATTCATAAATGCCAAAATTTATAGTAAAGGCTAATTTTTCAGTATCTTTTTCATTTGATTTTACATGCCAGATGCTATGTCTAATGTAGAAATAGTTTTTGCATTCGTTAATTGATCTAACACAGCATTAATTCTAGGAATAGATTCAGAATCTGTTTTAGTAATTTCATTAAGTTTTCAATAGTCAATGCACAATCTAGTTTTTGCATGTTCATCTCTTTTATAACTTACTGGTGCAGCATAAGGACTTAAGGAATGTTTTATTATACCAATATCTAACAATTCATCTTTTTTTTTTTTTTTTTTTTTTTTTTTTTTAATTTCACTATTATCTTTTGGAGATGCTCGATAGGGTCGAGAAGCTGTAGGTAATTCTGTAGTTAAACCTATTTGTGGAGGTTCAATATTGATACAACCCACATCATATTTGTTTTTAGCAAATATATGATTATAGTTACTTAACAATTTTTGAACTTGATCACAATTTCACTATTTTCAGCATAATTATCAAATTTTTTTGTATTTACACTATTTTTACATGCAAAAATATTTTGAAAATATTTATCTAATTGAATACCTTTACTTACGATACGTTTAAACTGATATACTTCATAATTATTAAAATTCAATTGCAATTTAAGTGAGAAAACACAAGATGAGGATAATAATAAATATGCCAAATTTGAATTCACAAGGTAAAATATTATAGTATTAGTGAGTCTACCAATTTTGCATGATGATTTAATTACTTTAGTCACAGAAAGACCTCCAGATAAAGATAATATAATTTTGTGTTGGGATTACTTTCACTAATTTCAATTTGTGCATTAATAGAATTTTAAATATTTTCAGATATGACATTAACCTGTGACCCTGTCTCAGTAATAGCAGGGATATTTAGATTATTAAAGTGAACATTTACCTTAAAATATTTCCATTTTTGTACACTTTTTTAGACTCTGCATTAAAATAAGTCAAAGAAGGAAATGACCTATAGGGATAAACTACTTGTCGTGGCTTGAAGTTTCTCTATACCTAATTTTGAGGAACATAATACCCAGCAGGAAAACGCCTGAGAAAGGCCAGCATGATACCGAGACTGGTAAAAATTTGGATGTATACTTTGCCTTGGAGTTAAAAATTTTTGTGTCTGGCCAACAACACCACCAGCAACAACAATCTGGGCATTCCTCACTTCGTGAGATGTAACCGCACTATGAGTCCCTTAGCCCCTGAGAATCAGGCACAGAAATTCAACCTCCGTCTTTGCACCTTGAAGAGAAAGAAACATCGTTTTTACTACACGGGTCGTTTAGCAGGTTTGCGACAACGGTCGTTTAGCTTTTGCGACACCGGTCGTTGACTGGCAAATAGCAAATCATAGTGAATGATTTCCAGTCGCTCAGGCTGCCCGTCGCAGAGGGACCCAGTGTTCCCGGGACGCCACCCCGGGAAGCATATTTCACAAGTGCACATCAACGTAGCCACTGAGGGAGGGGCTTCGAAAATGGACCAATGAGCTTCTATTGCTCTTGTGACGCTAAATCTTCGTGCATATGAGCGTATGTTGTTTATGTTTTAAAGTGCATTTGTTTCGCAGTTATAAATGTATGGCGTAAAAGTAGAAAATCTCGTAGTGCTTTCGTTTTATGAATTTAATTAATCGCTGACATTTCACTTTCGCGATTTTTATCACGCATTAATATTTGGATTGATGTTCACGGCATATTATCGCTCTTTACATCGAGAAAATGACTCGAGCTACAGTTAGTCTCGAATATTATGCATTTACTAACACCTGTGGATTAAGAGAATTCAAGTGTATAGTTTTTTTAATTGAGCTGAGAAGGACTGGAAGTATTGTAATGAATCTATTGTTTTCTTATTTCAGAGCTTGCATTCTTTTGATGTTTTAAGTGTAAGATTCAAAATACATATTGTGCATGATCTGATTATATCCATTGTTAACATTAAAAGTTATATGTGAATAAATTGAATATATATTGATTGTGAATAAGATAAATTTATTTTTTATGAGTATTTCTTGTGCAAACAGTACATTTAAGAGTGAGCAATTATTAAATGTGAAATTTAACACACTAAATGTATACGAATGCAAATTAGTAAAATTCTGTGTTGGCTGTTATATTATAGGACATCTTTTTCATATAGACTGTAAAAAAAGTTGCTGACTTCTATTTACATATATAATTGGTGTAAATATTTTTATGTAAAGATAGCATTTCGGCTCAGATGTTTATCACATATTTCTTTCTTCATCTTTATTCACCACTTAATTAATATTTTCAGATGGATACTTTTTGCGGAGTATCCAACATGTGTTTGCATTTATTTCAAATCCTTTCAACCAGGTAGTGAAATCTTCCTAATTGCTTATATTTGAACTAACTTTGCAATGCAAAATTTCAGAAGAACTCGACGATGCTTTAATTATTTTGTACAGAAAATTGCGTAGCAGAATATTTTCAACCATCTTTCTTAAATCTTAAAGCACGCGAAAGGTCAGTTGGCATAACAGACATACGACTGGATTCCCATTGGTCCATCCTAGAAGCCACTCCCTCGGTGGCTAAACAGATGTGCACTTGTGAAATATGCCCCCGGGAACACTGGGTCTGAGCCATCTGCTATAGGACTTGCCAGACCCCATACTAGTGACCTTTTCGGAGCCTTCAGAACCACTAGGTTTATGATTTGTATACCTCCGAGGCCGAGACTGCCTAGGTACAAGATCCTAGCCAGTAGCTTCGACGAGTTATCAAGTTGTTCCTGTGAACTTGAGGATGGGAAAATTTTTCTAGCCAAAAATATCCATTCCTGTAACGTACGCACATTTTGTACAGTTAGCAACATTTTCTGTTGCTCTGATAGTCCCTGATTCAACACGTCAGTTGTAAATTTGTAATCTAATTTTAAACTCGCGGCAAAGTTTAACTTCTGTCGGAAATACTTGTCAATGTCATTGAATTAAGACTAAGTACAATTACAAAGCCACTGAAAGTAACAGTTTCCGCACTGCAAAAATACGTAAGAAATTTATCCTAAAGGATTTTCCAATCCAACTGCGCTCATTCTCGTAGATAAAAAGATAAGGCCTTGCCTTGGAGGCACTCACTCGGAGAACACCAATGACTTGTCCTTCTCTCCACTATTTTAGTGTCACATTTCTTTTCGAACAATAAAAAATATTTATCTACTGGAATATCCGAACTTTGACCATCGAACACTGCACACTGAAATTTGTCTATATTTACTGTTGCAATTTCAATTTTTTCTGTAGAGTTAGCTTGCGATCTTGTCCACATTATTAATTTTTATTTTTTTTTTCCGAAAACTGAATACTGACAAATTTGCAAAATAATCACCACTGAATAGCCAATTTTTTAGAAGCACCAAAAGTACACTTTGGAGAAACATTTTGAAACACTATACTTGAATATTCGATGACACGCGTAAACACCATTAGAATCTTTCGGAAGATATGCACACTTTTCACTAATTACATGCTTGAACACTCGATGGCACACATTTCACTAATCACATGATCCGTGCACACATTTCACTAGAAGCATCCAAATGTCGTCACAACGATTTTTCAATTTTTTTCACCGATCATAATGCCGAGATCGACATTAACATTTTAGCGAATACACAGGAAAAAAAGCACGTAGTAAACTTGCAGCAGAACAGCGGTTCTCAACCTTTTGACTAACGCGTACCATCTAATCAAAAACTGAAAACCTTTAGTACCACCACTACAAAGTACTACTACCACCACCATTCTTGAACAAAGCTCAGGTCGTATAAATTTACGAGTGATAGTGAAAAAACTCAATCAGGATGCTGGGGTTTTAATTTTTGAATTTAATAGTTAAAAAACTTTGCTTCTTTGCGTACCACCTACGTTTTTCTTGCGTACCACCGGTTGAGAACACCTGCAGCAGAATCTTTTGGAAATTTCCTCGCAGTGACCTTCACGCACGCATTAATAATTTTTTATTTTTGTTTTCGCAGTCAGCGGAACTCCGTGGGGGAAACTTTCACCAGGTTGATCCCGTCAGACTTTATTAAAATGTAGTATTTTAGGTGCGTAGGAGGAATCGGATACTTTAACAGCTTGCAGTCTTAGATGGTTTAATGGAAAAACAGAAAGATGACGCTGACATAAACAAATTTGAAGAATTTCCAATTTTTACTAAACCATTTCTTCACAGATAAAATACTTCTAGATTATAAGCAATTACAATAATATATATACAGGTGAAGGGATACGAAGTCGTTTTAAGCAAGTGGACATAGCAGTGCCAGATGTTGGAAGGAGAAAGCTAGGGAAAGGAAGCTGACGTATTTACTTGCTAGCGGTATTTATACCGAGTATTGCAGAAAGTATTCTAAGCTACGATTGGTTAATTTTTAGTTTCAGTTACCTTTTTCAAGCAGTGCTATGTAACATATAAAGATCTCGAATTTGAGAGAACAGATGAATTTAGGGGGTAGCACATTAAATCTAGAATAGTTAATTTTGAGGTCGCCAATCGTATTTTGTTACGCCTTACATATATATACGTTTGGTGAGACCGATTGCAACCAAAAAGAGAGGTGCACAGCTACATGTTATAACAGTCCCGTATACAAAATTTGAACGTTCTGAGGCTACTCGTTTTTATGTTATGCGAGATAACTATATACGTACGTAGGTATGTATTTATCTCGCACGTACGTACGTACGAAGTCCCAACAAAATCTCTTACGAATTCATTTTTGAAAAAAAAAAAGTCCTTTATCCTTTCCGTACGTGTAGGTGTCACGCAAAAAAATCGTTCAAATGGCTTCGAAAACTGTCAAAATGGATATTTTCGTTGAAATACGATACTTGAAATTTTTCGCGATTTAAATACTACCTTTACTTCGTACAGGAAAGTAAAAATCGCCAAAGATGATAAATAGCAAGATTGGGAAAATAGGGTGGATGTTCTATCAATCTGATGTGCTTCTATTAAAGAAATTCGACTATCAGTCATGCTGAATGAGAAAATATATTATCATGATGAAACATTAATTTCCTAATATCTGGAAGACACTTCGTGGTGTACCACTTAGATGTAACTGGCCTTCTAACTAGGTTCTTTGTTCTAACATATTCTAATGCCTTTGGCTAGTCCCGTACTTCTGGCGAAAAAGGCATACGTTACGTCTTTCATTGTGCGTTGTCTTTTCACAATTTTTGGTTAGCTCAACATCTTTAAATATATATTTTCCTTAGAACGAAAAAAAAAAAAAAAAAAAAAAAAAATGTCCACTTATATTTTAAAAAATATCGTGGCGTCCACCATCATTAAGCAGTTTTAGGGTTTCTTTATTGATTCTGAGATGCTTGGGTTTTTGGTGTCCTGTTAATTTATGGGGGACCCAAGTTTATGAATAACTTTATGTATAGCTGCGGATCTAATGTTAAATTCCTTCTGTATCATTCGATTATCACTGATTAACACTTTGCTTACGGCCGACACATTTTCAGCTGACAAAATTCTTGTGTGATCTTCATCCAGGAGAGAATTTCGATCTCTAAGAAATTCTGTGAATCATCTGAATACAAAAGCACAAGATGGCGTTTCATTTCCATGTGCTAATTGTAGACGTTATTATTTTTGATTTAGCTCCGCTTTAAGGTTATATAAAATCACAGCACGATAATGCTTTCACGGCAGCTCAGTTTTCATTTCTTTCAAAAATTATTCTGCGATAGATAAATTGCATTTACTGCCGCAAATTATCGCCTTCGGATATAAAAGTGTTCAAATTTACATATCTACCAAGTTACTGTTTTTTTAGCGCACATTGTCTGCCTTTGTCTGAAAAATTTCAGAATGAGCTACGTGCTGCACAAAGATACAACAGTATAAATATACTTGCTCATTCCAATAGCTTGTTTATGTATTTACAGAAGCCCTGCCAAATATATGCTAGTTATTCCACCTCCATTCTCCTTCTATTAAGACTATCTTGGTCTCTATAAGATCATGTATCACTCTCCACCCACACTTGAGTATTTTTATTTACTGACATTTTGAAAATCTCGAGAACTAGAAATAATTTCGTTAAAGCTAGATATCTCTCTTCATTACAAAGCATTCCTACTACATAATATCGAAATAAAATTACCACATTTTCGTAGCCTTTTTTCAGCTCGTAACTTTTTTTTTCAAGGTCACAGCCCTGAGATTCAGTTCACCCCAAATCACAAGTTTCCAAAAATTCACATTTAAAAAAAATTTTTTTTTTATGTAGTAGCCTGAGAATGTTTTTAGGGGATAGTGGACGAAGAGTTCAGTATACATCTGCGTCTGCATCCTGAGCTAGATAGACTGCAGTTATTTGAAAATTAACGAATTTTTACTCAATCGTATTGTTTTATTATTATTTTTTTCTTGGAAATGTGCATGCATGCCAAATTAAGTTGCAGCTAAAACGTTTCTTTTGTAATTTCAGATCCGTTATCAAGGAAGGGGAGAACTCCTTGTGTCTCTTTGCTACCAACCTGCAGCAAACAGACTTACTGTTGTGGTTTTGAAAGCTCGAAACCTCCCCAAAATGGACTTCGCTGGACTTTGTGGTAAGTGAAACTTTACTCTAATTTGTATCATATAAACAAACAGTCCTTAAATTTATCACCCGAGATTTACTCTTCTGTAAGGAAGATCGTATGATTTGAATAACCATTCATTCTAACTCTGGTAAAGCTCCAAAGGTTATAAGAAATTTAGGAAAACGGCTAAAAATATTATTTAATTTGCTTTTTTACTAATCTATTTATTTTTTATTGTCCCAAATATTTTAAAACATTAAGAGCAAGAAGTTAGTTATACTTATTATTCGCTTAAAACCGAAAAGCAGCAAGTCTACCAATTTCCGAATTTGGGAAGGAATGCATGCTGATTCTGTTTCGGATCCTATTGTCATCAAAGCCTCTTTGCTTGTTGTATTTGTGTAGCTTGTTTCTTCATTGCAAGAATTACAAGTGGTATGGTACTAAGGAGTAGTAATCTTTCTGTCCGCATTAATAAGTTTCGATGCTGGTCTAAAATCCAGTGATTTGGGATCCACTAAGCATGCCAGTTTGATCAATAAGGACAAATGATACCTTTAGGTAGAAAAATTGACCTGAGGGTAGTGTTAACCATATTGCTTTGTTCTTGTAACTACGGGATTTTAGTTCGTTAGTCCATCATGCTTGAAAGTCACTTAAATATGCAACTGTTACTTTACTTACAGATTTCTGTTTCAAACATAATATACTGCTACTTTTGTTCATCAAATACCGTACATTTTCGTGTCAACCAACTATAAATTTCACATTTGAATATTTGTTAAAGTATTTTGTGGATTTTTTAATGTTCGTTCTTTTCCTTTCAGATCCATATGTAAAGATCTACTTACTTTATAACAACCAGCGAATCGCCAAAAAGAAAACCCACGTGAAAAAGCGTACCACAAACCCGGTCTTCAATGAATCTTTCGTGTTTGAGGTTCCTTACAACGAGGGCCTCGAAAACATCAGCCTCGAATTTTTGGTTCTGGACTGGGATCGAGTCACCAAGAATGAAGTAATAGGAAGGCTGGAGTTAGGCCCCCGATGCGGAGGCCCTGCTCAGCAGCATTGGAATGAAGTATGCAATGCGCCTCGTCGCCAGATAGCTGAATGGCATAAGCTGAAGGAATGATTGAATTGAATAATATGGTTGTATATATGTATATGTGTCAAGTGTGCATGGTGCACCAATCACATCAGCATATTTCTTTAATCAACATTCGAGTTATTTAGATCAGTTTTCTATATAATGAATTCAAAATGAAGAAAAATCAACAGCTTTATTTTTGAGGTACCTTGAATTTTCAGAAAATATAATTCAAGAACAAGAAATTCTTCAGCAGTCTTTTTTGTAGACACGTTTATTTACATTTATTTCAAGTTCACAAGGATCGTTCATTATTATTTTGATTAGGCAACTAGCGTAAAGAGGTATTTAGATGATTTATTCTTTTCTACAATAGAGTTAAAAAATTATAAATCCAATTATATATGCCAGTATTTAAAATATAAATTAATTGTACTTGCAAATTTGGATTTTTAATGAAAAGTTTCAAAGAGTTTATTACAGTTATAACGATAATATAAACAAATTTTTCTGTTAATCAATTTAAATAAAAATTAAATGGTTGCTTGCTAAATGCTGCTATTATCAGAGATTTCTTACGAGACATTTATTTACTTCATTTTGAAACTCCTGCAGATATAATTCAGGCAAATATAGATAGATATCAGAGCAAAAATTATCAGAGGGCTATAGAAAAAAACAAAATGTTTCTCATTGAATAATCAAATTCAACATTTATTATCGCTGTAAAACTATGTTCTAAGACATTTGAGGAAAATAATAAAAATTGAAATAGATGATGGACTTTAGAATCTGTATTAAGAGCATTGTGACGGTATCATTTTTTTTTTTTTTTTTTTTTTTTTTTTTTTGACAGATTTATTCTATTATAAAAGGTATACAAAATATACTGCTGTGCACAGCAAAACAGATATATATATATTTTTTTTAATTATGTCATTCATGTATTGTTACCTGCTGTAGGGTTCAAACCTTTACTGGGATTCTTTTCAAAATTGCAACATCATGAAGATTAACAATTGCATATGTGAGAAGAAATATTTAAAAAAAAAAAAAAAAATCCTACATTTGAAATGAATTGTTTACTATATTTCTTTTTCAGCATCAGCACATATTGAAGATACTTTTTTAACTCTACAAGTTGAACTTTGTGCATATCCCTTTAATTTATGGTTAAATTATGACTTATAAAGGTATATGATATAAAGAATCAACAGATCAAGGGATTTTATGCTTTATACCTAAAGGCTAAAGTTCTACATGACTAATGACAGTATAAGATGTTAAATTTGACAAATGAGATAATTTCCTACATCAGCTATTTATTCCAGAAGCTATAAAAACATTTAATTACTATGAAGTATAATATGAGTAGGATAGTTTTCAGATGTGTGTAATATAATTTGCATGCCACAAGCAATGCATGTTTTCTGCACTGATAGATTAAAAAAATATACATAAAAAAGTGCTGATGGTGCACCTAACACACTGTATGGACAGTCTAGACTTCCTGAAGTATCATGTCTGTCTGTCTTTACTCCTTGGTGGCCTCTCTTTATGAATCATAAGCTTATATATATATATATATATATATATTGTTCTGTTTCTGTGTACCAAGTCTCATACCCTTTGAAATGTCATTTATAGGAAAGACACTTGCTTATTGTTACCTAACCTACTGTTAAGTAAAATCATTAAGAGTAATATCAAGCAGAGATGAACCCGTTTTGCAACAGAAAAATATTACTAATGTTCTCTTTTTGGAAAATTGGAGATTATAGGAAGACCAATAAGCATTTTAATGTTTAGTGTAAATAATCTGTTCATTAAAGTTTAGGATGAGTATATATTTTAAAATAACCTATTTTGAAAACTTGAACATAGAATTTTGAGATGTTTCAAAATTACAACAAATAAAGCAATTAGTTCAAAGATAGAAAACTGCATTACACTTAATTCAGAAATCAAGATTAAAAAAACTATGTTCTCACAACCAGTTGAATATCTTAATGATAAAGCTTGTAAGAGTTACTGAAATTTTGGTAACAAATTTTCTCCATATTTGGATGACATCGCTTTTATAGTATCAACTGTTGATTCATATATGTGCATGTAAAACAACCATATATAAATTTAGCTTTTTTTTTTTTTTTTTTTTTTTTTTTTTTTTTTTTTTTATATTATTCTAAAAATGTGATACTTCTCAGCCTTCAATATATTTTTGACACTAATTAGGAAAAATACAAATGGAGATTTTGAGTTTCTGTATTGCATAAAAAATAGCTTAAATGTAAATATCTCACATGATATATGCAGTCAAACCTCAATATTCATTGAATATCTTATACTGAAATAAGAAGATTAAAAAAATGGTAAATCCATAAACAAAGAATATACTTTTCAAGAATTTTCAGGTAGTATGGAGAACATACATGACAGTTAATTATTTCCAGTTATAAAGATTCCAAAAATAAGAGGAAGAATTTTATGAAAACTCTCCGTTAGGAAGCTTTGTAAAAAAGGGAACTACTTACTTTAATCCTGGCTGTTCAAATAAATTTAAGAAGCTACTATAAAAATGCAAGCCATTAATTTTAGTGATCAATAATTTCATCTCTAAAATAACATCTGGTACTTTTATGTTTGATGGAAATGCATATATTCTCACACGTAATGGTAAAAAAAGTGTCTAAAATACTCATAATCTTCTTCCTAGATGGTTTTCCCCTTATCACTATAAAGACTAAATTACAGTGCTCTTAGGATGCTTTTCTAAACATTCTGGTTGTGATATTAATATGAATTCTGCATGTAAGATTGCATATGTGCAAATCTAACGTCCTTTGCATTAGCATAAAACAAATATTTGCTGCTGATCAATTTAGAATATTCTTCTTAAATTGCAAGCAACACCTAACACTGTGTATAATAGTTTAAAATCCTACACCTTAGATTTGATGCATTGTGCTTGAATCCAATATTTTTAATTTCTGGTCTTTCAACTGTCTTTAATAAATCTGACGAAAACCTACTTGAAATTCACAGCAAAATTTTAATTTTGATCAAGAATTACCAAGTTTTTTTTTTTTTTTTTTTTTGAAATTCAGGAGCACACATGCACTCAAACACCCTTTAAAACAGTTCTCAGATAAATAAATTAAGCATGAATTAGAATGAAAACAATAGATAGCAGAGCAACATTTTAAAGGAACAAATTTAGAAACTCCAAAATGTTTAAATGCTAAAGTTCATTTCTGTGATGATATTAAAGAGTTCATTGAAAGATTTCATTTATTTGCAAATGAAGAAGGTGATAGCATTCATACAATAAAAATTCTTCTACAATTAACATTGATTAATTTTTTTTTTTTTTTTTTTTTTTTTTTTTTTTTTTTTTTTAAATTCGGAGCCATACAATTCTCCTTTACTGAGGTTTGGCTGCAATACTTCAGTATTTGCTAAATTGATAAAAGTGCTTTTTTATTCAATTTAGAAAAATCAGATTTAAATCTACAAAAGAATTGTTGCACAACAGGGAGCACAGTGCCAAAAGGTTCAGGCATTATTTTTTTTCCAAAGAATAAAAAAGTAAAAAAATAATATATACTTGGAATGTGAAATACATTTTTTCATGTTTATATGTGCTTAAATCATATATAAACAATGGATATTAGTGCCTGTGACAACTTAATGCTGCAAATGAAAATAAGTAAAAATATATGAGACTTCTATACTATGAGTACAAATGTTCTGAAATTCATATTGTTTTACATAACTTTCAAAGGCATTTACATCTATATCAGAAAAATCAGTTTTTTTTTTCAATTATTTAAACTAAAAGTAGCTTCAAAAAAGACATCTGTTTCAAGTACAGGATTGTATTTACTCTTTTTGTTATAGGAAAAGTAAGAATATTGTCAACTGTGACCAGTTAAATTTATCATTACTAGTTGAAAAGTTATATGATGATTGGAATAAAAGTATTGAAATTTATCACATGAACATTAGATATATGATTTTTCATCATTATTTTAGCATATAAAAACTCATATACAAATAACACAAATGCAAACAGTTCAAAAGCAGGAAAACAAAAGTATTTCTGGACACCATAAATGCTTTACATTATTTAGAAATTAAATGGAAGTTTTAACAAATTAAAAAAGTTAAATTATCTATGAGAAATTTATCTCAAAATATAATTCCGACAGTAATTTTAAACACAAAATGTAATTATGTTTCAAGAAATAATTTGTTAAGATAGTAATTTTTAACAGTCATCATGTCATAAAACATACAGGAAAGAGTATTCAGTCAAATCACTAAATCATTTTCTCTTGCTGCTATAATGTTGTAGCTGCTAACAATTAAATATGAAAAACTAGGAGTTTTCAGGAGGTTTTGTGTTCCACAGCTGCATAGTTTCAAAATGAGTTTAAATTCTCTTTATAAAGCACATGATTCAACTATTTATATAATTATTCTTTAGATAAGTTTTATGCCTTTCTGGTTAATTTCATTTTGTAATTTTCTTACAATTTTATGCAAAGGAAATCCTGAATATGAAAATTTTTATTTTATCAATTTAAAACACAAAGAAAAAATTAATAATTTAATGTATATACTGCTAAGTAGATAAATATTAATTTACCAGATTAAAAACAAAATTAAATACAAATATTTATTGATTAAGCATTTCTACAGTACAGATCAAATAAAATTTATGAACAAAAATTATGCTGAAAATCATTTGAGGAGAAGGAATGGAATTAGACCAACTTAAGTTTTATTAACTTTATACATTTAATTTATTGATAAAAACACCCCCCAGTAAAGACTCAAAATTAAAAACTGGGAGATTCAGTGATCTATCAGGAGAGTGGGATATGTGACAAAAGTCACATATGGATAGGAGACTGGAGATAGGAGAGTTGGCAGCTATGTAATGTGGTTCTATCAAAAACCCAATGTCAGAATATTATCTTGATAATGAAAATATATCATATATATTGATTGAAGTTTGAGTTGTCAAATGATGATATGTGGGCAATAATTTTTGTTGCTAAGTGAATTTGTTATGTTTATCAAATATACATTAGAATTTTTAAAAAGCCCACTTTGTTAAAAATTCTTTTATTTCAATAGTCATGGTTATTGCTATTTATAAAATATAAAATGGATGATTGCTAAAAGGCAAGTGTTTTTCTGAACAGCAAGAAAAATATTACAATTATGGTTGACATTTTTGGAATTTACCCTGCAGTTTGATGGTGAATAAAAGACTTTCTGGTGACTCATTCTGCTTGTTTCTTGCTAAAATTTGCACTTATAAACTTCCAAAACAAAATGTTTGTGGTTTTTGGAATAAATGCAAATGGTTTTACTAAATAAATACACAACACACCTAAAAATATTCATACATATATTTTATTACTCTGTAGCTATCAAACATATACAGAACTTTATATATTTGAAAACACGATTCATAGTCAAAAGCACATACTTTTCAAATTGAAAAACTTATCGTAAAAAATATTTTATTTTTATTTATTCACATATTTTATTTCTTAATGTGATGATCATCTTAAGATAAATATGATGTTCTCATCTTCTGATAACATTTCCTAGGCACTAGCAATGAGACAACTCATCCTATACCCAAGGTTTTTCTATATTACTGTAGCATGTCAAGCAACTTATTTATTAAATTTTCAGCACATTCTGGTCCATATTATGTTGTTTTCACAAAATTTATAAATAGTAGGACAAAGGCAAACTATTACTTTGATGAATGTGGTAATGTGTCAATCAATGCTAAATACAGTCGTTTTGAACTCAACTAGTATATCTATTAAAAACTGAATAAGAAAATCGGTCTATAAATTAAAATTTTAAAAGGCAGATAGTTAAACATCTGAAGTGACTCAAGAGTAAAAGGAAAATTGAGTAGAAGATAAAATCCAATCAAGATAAAGTAATAATTTAGTAAACTCCAAACCTTTTGTTCATGAAAGTATTAAAATTTATACTTTTTATCAGATAGAACTTGATACCTTTCTAAAGCATTTTATTTGTACAATTATTATTTATATAAAATTTATACTTTTTATTAAATAAGAAATTGGTACCTTTCTAAAGCATTTTATTTGTGCAATTATTATCTACAGTTTACAGGAAATGTTTGATATATTATGGACAATACAAATATTCTTTTCTTATTTATATATTTTTATTTAACATAAATTTTTCATAGTGATACATGTTTTTGTTCAGTGAGTTCCAGCCCCATTTAACTTCTGATTACACAGTTGAGACATTTAGAAATTTTATGATTTATAGTTAAAATGAGAAGGGGGCAATTATGAATTTATAAGTACTTATTACATATACCCATTCATATCTTCATGGAATAAATGGTTGGCAGATTCTGCCAGCAATCCCATGGTTAAATCCTGATGATAGCACTGCTGATTTTTAACATTTCTTACTCTGAAAATCTTTATGAAGATAGAGTATAGATACAAAATGACCAATAATTTTTTATTAAAAATTAATTTTTAGAATAAGTTTTAACTATAATGCTTTTTATTTGTATCAATTTATAAAGACCATTTTAAAAATTAAATATTTCTCCAAATAAGAGACAACATATATTTATTCAAATTATTATTCATTAATATATCAGTTCAAATAAGTATTATATTTTACATAACTAGTAATACAATCAGAAATTTAGAATACAAAAATAAATATTTATGTTACATTATAAAATTCTTATCTTTTTATAAAAACATAATTTTATACACATCACTATAATGTTCAGCAAAATGCACCTCTAAGCCATCAGTTATGAACTTTGGCAAATCAGCAAAATCTTTCTTGTTTTCTGCTGGCATAATAAGGCAGGTAACACCAACTCTCTTTGCCTAAAAATAAGCCCAATTATTAATTGGCTAATGATAAACAAATGTTTATTAAATTAAACAAACAACACAATCTTTTGCAGATGATAAAAGAGTTTTGCTTATGTAACTATGAGGATAGGTATTGCAGTAAACAATTTCACTCTGTACGAAGCTCAATTTTGTCACTAAGCCTAATTTAACCTTTTCGTGAGGGCGCGCCTTTGTTTAAGATGCTCCTGCGGGACAAAATTGAATCAAAGGCAGTCACCGTACAGGACGGAGGTTTTGCATCGCTAAGCCTAATTATATATATATATATATATATATATATATATAAATAAAATTAAAAAAATTAAAAATTAAAAAAAAAAAAAAAAGAAGAAGAAGAAGAAGAAAAGAAAAGTTTTGCTTCTAGCATCGCAATTTTTGGTATCATTTTAGATTATTACTTGAGCTCTTATATATATTAAAATTAGCACTTAATAACATTTTTTTCTTTATTTTACATGAAAATATACTTAAAAAATTGCTTATCTTGTAAAATACTTTTCGGAAGTGCTATTCAAATTATTCCAAAGTTTTAATTGATAAAACCCATCAATAAAGTTTAAAACTCATAAAACAACACAATAAAGATTATTTACATAAAGAAGTAACAAAATTTAAAATGAAGACTGAGTGTGGTAATTTTCAAAGCAGGGAGAAATATTGCTTTCTAACTCTCAGAAAAAGTATCACTTTCTAACTCTTTAGGAAATGAATAATCACTCTCATCTGCATTCATAAATGGTTCATTGACTATACGAGGGTATTCTTTCTCTGATATATAGTGCCTTCCCGCCATAACAGACTGGAAGTGAGGCTTTCCGAAATAAAAAAGAGAAGAAACGGAACTATATCTGAAGGTAATGCAAAATGTAACAGTACTCCACATACTAACTCTAAAAGACTATATAGTAAAGGAAAAAATAGAATAAAAAAGGGAATTGGATATAAATCAGACATGTGAACGTTTTCATTAGCACGCAGGGATTTAAAGAGCTCACCCCTGTTTACGCTTCCCCCCCCCTTGAAAGAGCTGATGAGTAAAATACCAAAGTCAAGCAGAATATATCAAACTCAAGGTCAGGAACCTAAAACTGTGTTCATTTCAAAAGTAATGGACACAGGATGCCATCTAGTGGCCTGCAGAAAAACGTTCCATCTTAAAATGCGTATACGCATCACCCGTCCTCTGAATGCAATGTCTAGCGACGCGTGGGTAGGATGCCCGGCTGTAAGAGACGTTCTTAGGGAATGTGTATATGGGATGCCCATCTTGAAAGAGTTAAAGGAAACCATTAAAAATCATGATTTTTGAATGTTATATAATCCTTACTTCTGAGTTAAAAAACTATTTGCTAATGTAAGGAAACAATTTTTGTTATGTACTCTCTAAAATTGAAAGATTTCAGAAATTTGGTACTGCTTATAAGAACTGCAATGTATTTAACTGATTTTGCCTTATATCACTTGAAACTAATTCGAATCGTATAATGGGGGGGTGAAGAAGAAGTTCTTTTACATGGGAGACAAAACTTCTTAAGTAAAAATCTTTTCTATGGAAGCTTCTGAGCTTTAAAGCTACCTTTACTTTGTCATTTGTTTTAAATTTCATGAATCTTCATTAACTACTACACTTTCTTCATTACCTGATTATTTGAGGAAAAGGAAAATTTCTTCTTGCAACAAAAGACATAAAATTTTTTAACTCCTACTTTCATTGTGATGTGATGTAACTTTGATATTTAAATTTATTTAGCATATGCAAAAAATATTTTCCTAAAAAATAACAAAACAAAAGATTATAAAATGAAAAACAAATATGTTAGGAAGAATAATATCTGCCCATCTATGGTGTAGCTAAGATATCTATACCACAGCTCTTTGGAAGCAGGAGGCAAATTTTTTTTACACTTTGGAAATGTACATTTTTCCTCCCCCCAAAAAAGGGTGGTGAAATTAAAAAATAAAATAAATAATCTGAAAGGGTTTAGATTTTAATAACTGCCTAAAAGGGCTCTTTAAAATTTAACATGGTTTATCAATAGAAATTATGAATAGACATGGACGAGGTGGAATAGCAAAAAAAAACATTTTAGGCTATTAGATGAAGATGCATTTAGCTTTATGAGAATGTTATATATCTTCTGTACATTTAAAAAGTGAAAAAATTATGTAATGTAAGTCTATAAATATATTTAATGTTTTGATCAGAAATATCATGAATTAAATGCATTTTTAGCCCCAAAAGGTTATTATTTCGAAACAGGATTTTGCATTGTTTTACTTTTCATTTGAGTCTCATCCAAATGGCAACATATTTGAATGAAAAGTGAAGCAACACATTAAAGTGAAACAAAGCAAAATCATTTGTGAGAACCTTAGCCCCCCCTTTTTTTTAAAGTCTCTTTTCAAAAACTGCAAAATGAAAAAATATATAAAGCACAATGGCCAATTATTGGCATACATAAAATTCTGTTTGGAAATGCATACATGCAACATCGGTCTTCTACATAACATTTCTTTTGCTGCACATATGTAGCATCCGAGTTCTCATTTGCCACATATCAGCCATCAGCAACAAAAATTAAGTACAGAAATTTTAAGTTTCAAGCCTTAAACTTACTGCTATAGATTTTTCTTTGATTCCACCAACAGGAAGTACTTTCCCTGTGAGAGAGATTTCACCAGTCATAGCTGTATTTTGTTTCACGGACTTTCCTAATGCTAAAGATAGCAAAGCACTAACCATTGTACATCCTGCACTTGGCCCATCTTTAGGAACAGCTCCCTAAAATAAAAGCATTTGTTTCATAAGTATTTCCTTTTATACACTACAAACATAAAACTAAATAAAAACGAAACTAAAATGAACCTTTTTTAAACATGATGTTAATCATAACACACTGATAGCTTGATCAGTTAAAAGGGTATATTTATGTAGTTTATAGAATTATGAATAGAATTTCAAATTTATTATTATAACTAAGCAACGAAACAATAAAATAAAGCAGAAATATTTATTTTATAATTTTGTGAAGTGCTGTTAAGTGGTCATGCTTTAAAATACAAAAAGCAGATTATATGGGTAAAATTAAAGAATTGCCTAAACTTTAGAATACCCACTTTGCTTAGTAACTTCAAAAACACTAAAAAATTATTAATCTTATTAAATTATTTATCTCTCAAAATCAATCTTCCTGATTTTGTCTATCTAGTTTCGATCATTAAAACAATTTGCAGTTCATAAAGTAAGTCAGGCAGCTTATTATTATTATTTCTCAGATTACATGGAACTGTTTTAAGCTATTTAAAGAGCTCAGAGCTCCGTTTAAAGAAATAGTTAAGATTTCTCCAGAATTTATTTGGTTTCTTAGAATAATAAAGCTACGAGGAGGCAGTGGACTTTTTTAAATTTTAGAAATATTCAAACATCGATTTCCATTATATTGTCAGTTGCTTAGATAAGAAGGTTAAAAAAAAAAAAAAAAAAAACTAGTGGAAACAGTTCAGGAATGTCATGATACATTTAATGACTGTTAAGTCATAATCATTTCTAAGTATAGGAAAAGTTCGGCAATCCGGAAAACTTGGGAAATGCCGAATTCTGGACATGCAAAAATTCTGGATAATTGAGATTATAAAAAATGCAGTTTGAGGCAGAAAACTGAATGAATGAAAGAATGAATTTCTGTTCAGAAATTATAAAAAGAGCCTTTTATCTGCTATTAATTTCAATATCAAATTTAAATTATGTGTTTACATTTAAATTATGTGTGATATTGAAGATAAAAGGGCATGTCAGACATAAATACCAATGTAAAACATGAAATTCCCTCAAGCATGAAAATTGGCTGAGATCTCACCAAACTTACACCAGTCATTTCAGTCAAAGTTTGAAGGAAAAGATCACTCTTTATTAGTAAATAAGAAATTCATACAAGTTACAGACATAAAATACAAAAAATTTAAAATTGCCTGTCATAATTTTTCACATTGCACGGCTTTCGCACAAATCCCACTTTTCTTGAGGCCAGGATCTAAAAATTTTGAAAACACTCTACTACATGCTGTTCCATTGAAGGCAAGTCCCTAATTTTATTTATCTATTTAATTTTTCAAAATGCGATTGAAATACAAATAAATAGCAGTTAACTTATATATATAGGTACAATGTTTAACTTCATATCCAGAAGCAAGATTTTTGCAGTGACTATGAAAGACAACCAACAAAGCGGATTGAAGGTTTTAGTCATTCTTTTAGTAGAATGCTCACTGTTCTCAAGATCTTTGGTCACAAGTAAATTTCTCTTGCACTGGATACCATTCTAAACCTAATAATTTTATTGATTTAATATCAGCAATTCTTCACACCAAATGCGAATCTCTTTATATATTCCTCCCCATTGTTGTCTTTTTTAGAGCAACACACAGGACATTCCTTTTTTATAGAATTTGGTGGTATGTGGCTTGCAAAATACCACCCTACAAGTAGAATAAAGTTCATACCATCATCACTAGACCATACTGACAAGCATATAGCAGAAGACTATTTGTCAAAGATTTCCTTGATCACAGCTAGCTTGAAATTAAGAAGAGATTTTTTTTTTTTGCACTTGTTATTATTTTGTATATTATATACAAATTCCACACTGCACAATCCAATATATGGAAAAATATTTTCTTGTAATATTTATGAAGTTGTTTTCAGATATTAGGGTAGTACGACATTTGATCCCATCTATCGACACCGCACATTGTAAAGTTATAATCGAAAATCACTTTTGGCTTTAGTTTTCCTTTTGCCGTCCCTGAAAAAACTGATACAGATAATGCATCATGAAAAGAACTAAGCATCTTTATTATTAGTCTCTTAGTACCCGTAATACCATCTAGGTGCAAAACAAAATGTGAAATATGAATATTATAATATTGTCAGCTTACATGACAAAAAAGTTGATCCATATTGAAAATAAGAGACATAAAGTTATGCACACTTTTTTAATGCGACCCGCATTACGAGACGGATTTCGTATCTCATGGAAATCGCAGGGGCGTACGCAGAGGGTTAAAGGTTTATTGTTCTGTAATGTTCTAGTATAATTTTTAAAATTCAATCAGGTCATACAATTTTCTATTTCATCTTTTTTTTTTAATTGATGCTCCCACGACAACTTTGTCGAAATATCAATTTTTTGCAAAATAATAGACATTGGGAAAGTTATAACTAAAATTATCTGCACATCAACAAAGTATCACTAAAATTATCTATCTTTTAAACCAATATTTTCAAGAAGTGAGTATTTTGTTTACATTATCTATTAAGTGTAATATTGTGGATGCAGATTCCTTTTGTATCTGTGAAATGTTAAGAATTCTTTTAATGTCAGCAAATATCCGTTCTCTTTTACTAGAGATTCTGTTTGATTCTGGTTACTAGAAATAGGTTTGATGTGATTATATTTACGACTTTTTCATTCCTTAACTTACCAATAATTTTTAATTGAACCTCCTCAATTTTCTCTAAGATCGACAGTTCTTCAATGAAAGGGCCGATTTTATCATTACCTCAATTTGTATTATTTTGCTAAACATAGATTTGAAATCTTCTTTAAAAATTTTATATTTTTCTAAAACTAATTCTGTTTTAGCATTATGTAAGTTATATTCTATTTCCTCAAAGAATTTCGTTAACTGCATTTTCAAAACTTTCTTACCCCCCTTCTTTTATTTGACACTTTGGAAATATTCTATGCTCTCAATTTTACAAATATTTTAGTAACAATAAAGAAATCTTGAATGCAATTAAAAAGCGTTAATTTGCTCGCTCACCTTGTACATAATACACAGTGCATAACTCGCACCTTGTATGAAATATGTGCTAGCTATTCCAATTTATTCCAAATGAAAGCTCACTGTCAGCAACATTATGAAGACTAAACAAAATACCTATTCAAGAACACACCTTATTTTCAATCTCAAGCTCGATAAACCAGTAAGTTATAGGCTGTTCCCTCATGTTAAATTAATAACAGTAAAAGCACATACCATAGAAAGTGAACTGTAGATTCATATATCTCTAATTTAAACTTGCGAATATCTTTGTTTGGTGAGGTGACACAAGGCAAAAAAGTTATGGGTTAGCGGAAGTCAAAAAACACAAAAACAAAATGCGAGCTGCAGAATGTAAATAATTTTTCGGACAGACAGGCAGCTGCTCTGGCAGTTGAAACAAAGAGCATATTGCATTTCAAATAAATATGTAACAGTTTTATAAGTGCAAAAGAACAAACTATACAACTGAATAGCAGGCAGTTCCTACAACTGTATGTGAAATGACGTGGATTTTCACTTAAAACAAATAATTTTTAAAAAGAAACTTTCATGTACACTGAACTCATACATAACAGGATACTTCCACAGTGAGAAACTGTTTAAGATAAATAAACTAAATGGAAAAAAATATGCAATAAAATTGAATAAAACACCTGAGAATAGGATCACCTTCTAATGAGATTTCATAAAGTGCTTACTTACCTCTAAAAATAGAAAAAAATATGCAATGAAATCCCATACGAAACCAGAAAATAAGATCACCTTCTACTGAGATTTGATAAATTGTTTACTTGCCTCAGGTACATGAAGATGCAAATGAGCTTTTTGCAAGAAATCATTTTCTGGATGTAGTTGCAGCATGAAAGATTTGGCAAACGAGTAAGCAATATTTGCACTTTCTTTCATCACATCTCCTAAATGTCCAGTCAGCTGCAAAGACCCTTCAAATTTCTTTTCTTCAGACAGTGGTTTACATTGTGTGGTTTCTATGTATAATGTCGAACCACCTGTAAAGAAACAAATAACATATTTCTTTTATAGAAGCATATAAAATAGTCTAATAGTTTTGCTATCTAGATTTGAGTTTAACCACATTTTTTCTTCTTTTTAATCTTTAAGGACGTAAATCAAATTTACATCTCGCAAGTCATTGGTGATTATTCACTCAAACACATAGTTCTACAGACAACAAAGCAAAGTAAAATATGCCACAACAGAGTTCAGAGCTATGGAGTAAAATTTAGAGCTTTGGAGTCAGGATATAAAAATTTGTCAGCCAGATGAAAACCAAAACAACAACAACAACAACAACAACAAAAAAAGTTCATGCCATCCAAATGAATGAGAAGATTTATTAGGTATGTGGAGTTTTAATTCCACATGCTAGTAACAAATCCTAACAGTACCTTTCACTGAAATATTCAGGAATAATATCTTATGTTCATTTAATGTTAGAAAAGCACATGGATACAAGGGAAGAAAGTACAGATGATGGATTACAAGCATACCCCACATAAACATTCACACACACACACAAAAAAAGGCCAAAATTACCTCTCGTCAGGTTCGACTTACCCGAACACAATATCCATTATTCAGTTGCTTACATTGTATGTGCCTTTAGTTTGCTTTCTAGTGTAAGGTTTAAAATTAATTGTGTTTAGTTTGCTTTCTAGTATAAGGTTAAAAATTTTTACAATTTTTCTTATTATGTAATTCATAACATAATTCATTTAGCTATTTAATTTTCAGTAATTGGTTTTAATATATGAGTATTTAGCTTTTCTTAGTTTATAATATTAAAATTACAAGTTCAATATTAATCTTATTTTCTAAGATATGTTTGAATATAAATCTACTAAAATGGAATAATTTAAATAATTTTTACGCATTTAATGAAAATATTACAATAGATGAGCAAATTTTGTCTTTTTAGAAAGCACATTTTTTCAAGCACTACTTCCCAAATAATTCAGCTAAATATGTGCTCAAAGTGTTTGTTATGGTTAATTGCATAATTTTCCTACACAATTAATTTTGAACCTTACACTAGAAAGCAAACTAAAGGCACATACAACGTAAACAACTGAATAATGGATATTGTGTTCGGGTAAGTCGAACCTGACGAGAGCTAATTTTATTATATTATTACACTTAAACCCTATTATAATAAACTTGAAGGAACCAAACATTTAGTTTGCTATTTCTGATCTCATATATATATATATATATATATATATATATATATATATATATAAAAAAGAATCATCTCACAAAGTAGTAAAGAGTGATTGATAAATCACAAAACAAAATAATTTGCAGTCTATTACATTCCAAAATAAGTGAATAATAACTCTAATTAAAAATATATATACTAAGGGTTAATTGCAATTATTAAATTTTTTTCAATGTTTTTCAGTTTTACTTATGTTAATAATTATACATGATAAATTACTCAGTATAAAAGTCATGTTTACACCCATCCCTCAAATTAAAAGACATGTTTATAATTAGCATCTGTTCAAAAATGGTATATTATGTCTTCTTAGAATGAAAAATCAATGCAGCCATACTTCTTCATTCTTACACTTAATCATTTAAATTTTTTCCATAGAAATTATTAAGCACCGGTTTTTCGACATGGAACCAAATGCAGATTTAGGTTAACTGTATTTCCCACAGATACTGATTTGGCTACATTTATTCTATAATTTCCACACAATACTCACATTACCTTCCAATACAGAATGCTTACATTTACTGCCCAGCATATGGACACAATTACATAATAATATCCAAATGATTGATACATTAACTGCAAACACATTAAGCAGGGTCTACTGCAGTACATGTCATATAAACTTGCACAGACATTAGATTATTTCAAAGCAGGAGACATGAAAAATGTGCAATGCCCTCACTGGGACTCGAACCTCTCGAATATGTGCCAAGTGTGTTCGCCATTACACCATGAAGGCATGCTAAAAAGGCAGGAGAAATACATTATATAATCCTCCTTTTAAAGGATGACTGGGGATTAGAGGACCTAATCTCCAAATATTGGTGGTGGAGAATTATCATCCCCCACCTTTTTTTGGTTTGGGTGCCACTGTAGATACATTAGGTTATTGTTGAAGCAGGAGACATGAAAAGTGTGCAATGCCCTTGCCAGGAATCAAACCTCGGACCTCTCGAATATGCGCCGAGTATGCTGACCACGAAGGCATGCTAAGAAGGCAGAAGAAATACCTTATAAACTGATATGTTATGAGTAAAGTTTCAACATTAGAAAGCAATAATTTATTTTTTATTTAGCTAATAAACAATGATTTTATTGCCTTTATTAAAAATAAGCCTTTTTTCCCCCATTAATTCTAAATGTTTTTAGTGTGCTTCGTGAAACTTCTGCCTTTAATTATACTATGGCAATTAAGAGTATTTCATAAAGTAGGGTCTTCATAGAAAAGACCACTTAAATTCTTTTGCTATGTTTGTTAATGAAATTAAATCACATTGTAATAATATTATCTTTAAACCTCAAGCAATAAAATAAGAATTATGAACACTCATTGAAAAAATAAAAAATAATTGAAAGAATAAACAAAACTAGTGAAACTACAGATAAGTGTGATATGTCTACATACCCATAGCTGTCCAAGCAAGACCCATAACTACACCGGGAGGAGTTATTTCATACAAACGATCATGAGTAAACACGGGCTTTCCAACAAAATCTTGCAAATTTTCCTCTTTTACTTCTACAGTGGAAATTTCTTGCTTTACAATGCTGTATGCTGTTTTTCGGAAAATCTGAAAATTTTTTCCTTTATAAACATTGCACAGAAACACATTTTTACATTTAAATAGTGTATATCTTAATCAACTACCTACAAGACTGTTAAAAATTGACACTCTACTAAACAAATTAAGCTTTTCCTTATTAGACATTATATAATAAAATAAATACAATAAAACATGGTATAAAATTAAAACTGGAAAAATTTCAATTTTATATTTAATATAAGGCACATATGTACTCAATCATACAGTTTTCCATCTTTGCTAAAAAAAAAAAAAAAAAAAGAATGTTTTTCCTTTTGAAGAAGAGGGAACTGTGCCTGACAACCTTTGAAATTGATACAGGTTCAGTCAACATCTCCATCAAATTAAGACATGTTTCTCTTCCATTTGATTCAACTTTATATATATGTTGCTATGTTTATGACTCATTTCCACAAAAATGAGCTATAATTGTTGTTTACACCAAATATTAGACAAAATTCAAAAAAATTTCATAATTGCCAGTTAAAGTACCTTCATCCATATTATTTCCTTTGTAATACAGTTAATACAGCATGTAATACAGCATGCACATGGGTTTGTAATACATTGTATGCTCACAGAACTGATTATATCCTGATGAAATTTATCTTACAAAAATGAACACTTTATAGCTCAGGAAATTTCTGCAAAATTACTTCTACAGTTCTTATCAGTACCTTAGAGCACAATCAGTAGCTACACTTCAAACTACTAAAAATGTTAAACACAATGCAATGCAAAGCACATCTGAAAAGACAAAGCTCCTATGGGAATCTCTCAGTACTCCGAACTCATGCTAAACTACACAACTAATTCAAAACTGATCCTCTCCGCTGAGAAATCTTTAGTATTTTTCAAAATTACTAGAAGGCATATATATGAGGGCTGGATACGGTTACAGCTACATATCTATATTAATTACATTTATTCAATCACAATACCCATTACACTTATACAGAGACTGGACTAAAATGTCCTCAGGTCTGGCAACTTTTGGTGATTTATCGCCAAATATGGAGACAAAAATTAATCGCTAAGACTATCGCCAGCTTCCTGATATCTCAAGAACACCTTATCCTTTTTGTGGATTACAAGAACTGCATGTCCTATGCAGTACAATCCTTGGACAGGAAGCCATACTTACAACTAAGGAAAATCAATGCAATACTAAAAGAACAATTTCAATGAATAATGAAAAACAAGTCAATTACTAAATCAATAAACAATGCAACAGTTTACAAATTTACATACACATAGGACCATGGTCTTAGTATTTCTATTTACATTACATACACTATAGGATATACATACACTATTATAGTATAGCCATAGTAAGGGGCTACCCTGTTGTAATGAATGACTTTAGGCTTAGAATTTGATGACTTATGGATTAGAATTATGACGTCGTACAGCCTGTTTAGGATTGTGTAAGGACTATCCCAAAGTGAGTGCAGTTTAAAAAAATGTCCTTTCTGTTGGATTCCATAACCATACTTTGTCACCTTCATTGAATCAATGTCTTGTAGTTCTCGTGTCCTATCGGGTCTTCACCTTTTCCGTCGTCAACATGAAAGCAAGTTGATTTGCTTTCATGCAGAATTGTGCATCATTTGAAACCATGTCTGGAGATTTTCGATGTACTCCTCAAGTGATGAAGGCACATCTGGAAGGTGGCCAAACAAGAATCACAAGGCAGACAAAGATCATGACTGAAGAGCATCTGGGATCGGAAATAGCCAGTAGTCTCAAGGACAGCACTGTGATAGACCAATAAGAACAGTGGTAACTTCTTGTCCCAGTCCTGTTGGTTTCTGCAAAATATCAGTGAGATTATTAAGGATAGTTCAGTAAAACTTCTCTACCATGCCATTCAATTAAACCTCTATACCATGTAGATGTAAAGGTGCCCTTTGAGTTTTTTCTGTGCTGAAGAGTTTGCAGAGTTCTTTGATTACAGTCGATAAAAATCCTTCCTTGATCAGAATGTAGCTGAAGAGGCACTCCAGACCTAAAATCCAATGCTGTATCATTATCCTCACTACTGTGACAACCTCTTAATCAGGGTTAGAATACCCTTCAGGTGACTTGGTGAAGTAATCATTAACAACGTGTATATATTTGTTGCAATCAACAGTTCATGGCAGTGATGTCAAAGGTGATGAATCCAAAAGGTATTCCTACACTGTAACATCGCAGCTTCCATTGGCTATGCCTTTTCAGTCCTTTCTGACCTGCAGAGGCATCGCAAGATTTGCACCAATTTTTGCCCATCAGCCCTTGCATTACTCCAATAGAAGTGCTCTGGAACTCTATGCAAGGTCTTCATTATTCTGAAGAGGCTTTCTGTTGGACTGCTATGTAATTCTTTAAGGATGTCTGGGGTCCAGGATTTTGGAAGTATCAGCTGCCATAAAAATGCCTTTCCATGATCCAATTCAAACTTCCAGTATAAGACGACGTTTCGAATATGGATCAAGTCCCAGGGGGCCCCAAACTGTTTCGTCTTAGGACAGTTAATTGAATTGTCTTGCCAGGTAGGTTTCCTATTTGAAGGTTCCATTAAGTCAATTATGGGTGTAATGTCGCCACATTCCAACTGGTCTTTCCTTACTTCTTTGCCACTTCATGTGTCTGAGTCAGATGAAGTTGAAGTTATAATTTGACTGGATTAACCAGCTTAGATTTCATTTCGACCCTGGAATAATGTCGACAGCTTTCTTGGAAGCGTCTTCTAGTCAGCCATTGGCCTTTCTGTGTGATTATTTGTCCTGTGATGGATAGTTACATGATATTCCTGAAGTCTTTATAGCCACCTCGATACTTGGCTTTCGGGAGTTTTCCTACGTCTTTCTGTTTAGCAATCAGTAGACGCCATGGATTTCGCTTGATTGATGGATGAAGCCCTGAATGAATTCTATGCCATGCCAAACTGGTTTGATCTACATCAGAAGACGAACGGGAGAAAACATCTTGAAATTCTTGAATGACACATTTGGCAGCCCTCATCTCCTCATCCCTTACTTGTGCATTCTGCAATAACTAGTAGAGCCACAAGGTTATTTCAAAGCAGGAGACATGAAAAATGTACAATGCTCTCACCGGGTCTCGAACTTCCAATCTCTCGAATACGTGCCAAGTGTGCTGACCATTACATCACGAAGGCAAGCTAAGAGGACCGGAGACATACCTTATACACTTCCCCTTTTAAAGGGTGACTATTGATTAGAGGACCCAATCTACAAATCCACCCGCCACCTTTTTTTTTAGTTTGGGCGCCACTGTAGAGACATTAGGTATTTTTTTAAAGTAGAAGATGTGTAAAATGTGCAATGCCTTCACCAGGACTCAAATCTCGGACCTCTCAAATACGCACCAAATGTGCTGGACATTGCACCACACAGGCATGCTAAGAAGGCAGGAGACATACCTTATAAACTCAAATATTATGGTCTCCAAAGAAGCAGAGAGTGGCGAACTATTGGGTCATTCAATACTGCAACCACTTCGTCTTTCCTAACGATTTTTGCTTTATTACTGATATTGGCAACTCTCATCAGGATGACGGTCCTCAATAAGTCAAAGAGTGCTGAGGCTGCTAGTACTCCTTGCAGAGTGTTAACTGGGGTTTATCTTAGCTAATGGAGACAACTGATATAGCCGACCCATCTCCAAAATCAGTTTTTCCCATAGGGTAGCAAGTTGAAAAATCTGAACTACAGGCATAGTAGAGCTAGTCGAGACATGGAACTGACTCCGTTAGCTCAGAAAAACCCTAGTCTGAACGGCCCTTTATAGTTCTTGACATATTCCATAAAACTGAACTGAAAACTTCTGTTTTCAGCTATGGATTCAGGAAGTAAAAATTATGACCTTACTGGTACTATACCATCTTCAGCTATGATTTTGTGGATAGATTTAACTCCTTCATCATTAATTCCAAATAGAGTTACATCCTCAGAGGCAGAATTTCTTTGAACTTGATTTTTAAAGTTAAAAAAAAAAAAAACTGAATTTCTGTAGAAAGTCTAATCTGAGTATGCAAAGATCTGGAATATTTGCTACATGAGCTGTTAAGATAGTAGATGACACTTCCAAACGTGATGTTAATGTTTAACTTTTCCATTGATGTCAATTTTATCTTTGGACACAGTCTGGAAGGTCACGAAAGGCAGTGTACAGATGAGTTTACCTTTCAATTATTGTGCCAAATCTTTTTCGAATGATGGTAAGATAGGCTCCTGTATTGATGGTCAATTGTAAGGTACTCCATTGTAACTTACAATATGAATTTACATCCATATTGTAAGGTCTCCATAATGTAAGGTATCTTAGTAAAGAATCAATTACAGCCACCCCTCATTGCTGACATCTGAAGCGCTTTAAAATGGGGTTTCTGATTATCTGGCAAACTATACCCCACAACATGGTTACTACAGTTAAAAGTTTTTAATCCGGACTCGTTGCGACTTCAGCGATTCCGGATTATCGATTTTTTCGGATTATAGATCATCAGTTTAAATCTGGTAAGATGCAGCAGAAATTTAAAATTAAAATATGAACCGATTTATGAAATAAAGAGCAATTTGATCTAAGGTATCAAAATTAAAAAAAAAAAAAAAAAGCTTACTATTTATTTGTTTCCTTATTAACATTTCTTTCAACACACCATGCGTAAGCCCACATTAAGCATAGTCTAAATAGAATTGAAACCAGAAATCTTTTGAGTATACGTGATATTTAATGACGAGGAATTTGATTTAAATTATATCAAAGATGGAGTACATCATGATGAAATGCTACATTTAGTAAGAAATTATAAGCCAAATTAAATAAAAACATCTGCCCTGAAGCTAAGGATAGTGCTGACAGATCAACTTCCAGTTCATTGCGTGCCGCATTGTTTCCCCCCTCGCCTGCAGAGCAGCGTGAAATTGATAAACAGATTTCGGAATGGTTAGAGAAACAAAGGATATGAATTTATCCATTTT